CACAAACTGTCTGTGGCCCTTGGACCCAAAAAGAACAATTTTACTCTCATCAGTCCACAAAATGTTCCTCCATTTCTCTTTAGGCCAGTTGACGTGTTCTTTGGCAAACTGTAACTTCACTGATTGAATGCCACACTGCTATTTTTTTGAACACACCCCTTTCAACTAATTGCCCAATTTCACAGCCTTAAGAGCGTGCATATCATGAATGCTGGGTCTTGTTTGCTTTCTGAGAATCTACTGCACCTACTGGTAACTTGTTTGCCATGTAGCAATAAAAAATATACTAAAAACCTGGATTATTCTGGTTAGTCACATTGTACTGCTATTAATTTGAACAATACTGTATAGCATCCATCCATCCATCCATTTTCCTCCGCTTATACGGGACCGGGTCGTGGGGGCATGCACGTATAGCATGAATTTTTAAATTTAACTGACCCCTTAAATTGTATCCCCCTTCCCTTAAAATACAAAGATTAATCATAGAGCAGATGTCACACAGTTCTGCCTTGAGTTTTGTTTGATTTTTGGCAGCATCAGGAGCTGTAAGTGTGTAAATATTTGGTTATGTTTTGAAGGAGGAGCCTAATCTTGACACTAAAGGGATTATTGTTCATCTGTTAATATAAATGTTGGTTTATGCTATAACCCAGTGGATAAACTGTTAATTACACTATGAATTACTTTTGAGAAGTGTATAGCCACAAAATAAATGACTTTTTAGTTTGTATTCACCCCCCCACCCCCACAGCAAACAAAACAAGTAGGCAAGATTTTACAATCTTTCATGTTCATTTTGACAAATTACAATTCATGTCATGGTCATGTTGCATAGATTAAGATCTGAGAACCTTTCCAAGCTTGTCCATTAAACCTAGAGGTTAACGAACCAAAAAAAGAATTAAAGTGCAGGCAGAAGTAACACTCATCGGAAAATACAAATCCTCATTTAGGTTTTCTTGCTGAGGCACACAGTGCTATGTTTTAAGATAGTTGCTTTACAAGCTGACCTAAATCCCCACAGTGGTGCTGGAAAAGAACTGTCAAAACTGAGTTAAGATCCAAACCTGATAAATAATAACTGAGGTCCATCAATCCAACGGATTCAATAAAGTGGTCTGGTGAACGGCTTTACAACTTGCAGCTTTCAGAAAACCTCATGTTAAGTACATATGATATCAAATTTCAATGCTTGTGATGAAAAAAGTCTGATGTACACTTCAGATTTGTCCATCCTCCTGATAATCTTCAAGGCCATTTTCAAAAATGTAGTAAATGCAAGTGGTTCTGTAATGCAGGGTTATTCAAAAAGAATGAACCGATTTCATTACAATACGTAATGAAATCGGTTCATTCTTTTTGAATAACCCTGTATAATAGCATTGAAGGTTGTTCAAAAGGTGAATGTCATGTTTAACACTGTTTTCCCTGGTACGAGGCCCCCACTACAGAAGGCTGCCACAGTCATGACAACGCTTAGCTAATTACTTGCAATGCATAGAAGGGCACTGAAGAGAAAAGCCTGCTAAACCACACCAGACAAATCAAAGGCCTGTTGCCAAATTAAGGACTGCTTGCTTTCACTATCAGGTTTACAAAATCTACAGCCTGCACAAATTGCAGAGTAACAAGCACCGAATTAATTGACTTTGTTATCAAACAAACACAACAATCTCTATTGATCCATCAGCAAATTACCTTTTTTGGATTCATTTCATTATTTAGTCATATTGCTTTTTATCCCAGTCTGTCATTCAGGCCAAACGTCCTCATGTCAACAAAGAGTTTTTCTGGCAGCCCGGACCAAGTTGCCTTCAAATCCATTGAGGTGGTCACACCGCTCCAGCTCATCGTACCGTCCGCTTCGCAGAAAGCAGAGCATTGTAGTCTTGCAGGTCTCCTGGCAGGGCTCTGACACATGTCCTTTATATCTCAAGTACCAGAACTTCTGGAACACTCTGTCATCATTGATAAAGGTCCGTATCAGCCCATTAATGTCAGAAGGAAATACAGTAGAGAGATTGTAGGCCTCAGTGGCACGGTAAAGCAGTGTCCATTTGGGGTTTGGATTTGGGCTGAAGGACAACCCTGGACTGTGGTTTGCTTCTGTGAGATTAAGGATGTAGGTTTCATGGTCAAGCACCAACCGAGAGCTGCCTTGATAATTCCCATCGATATAGTAAACGCGATATCCTGGAAAGAGAAAAGCAAACATTTTTAGCTTTGTCTGTACATTGTTTCTGAAATGTCTGGTGCTTACTCAGCTAGTTCACCTGGATTAAGATTAACAAAAGTAGTGGCACTGGGAGCAATGAATGCCACTCCCAACGGGCGACTCATGGTCTCCTCATCATAAAACAGCTGGAACTCATCTAGATGTGTATGACCAAAAAACTGCCCAGCAACTGTGCTTTCATATCTGTGAGGAAAAAAATAAGAGGTTGTTATACAAAAACAACCTGCATAATCATTAAATAGGCAGACACACAAAACCACAAGACAACTGACCAAGGCATGAAAAAATAAATAAATAAAAAGTGAAGCAAGCATTGCTAGCAATAAATTAAGCACAATGATTGACTAAAATTATAAAGAGTTCCAGACCACTAATCTGGATTATTATACACTTTAATTATAAACAGCTACAACACACATGTAGCATTTATACTGTAAACTGGCACAGGAGAAATTAGTATTCCATATTTCATTCAATGGTCTGAAACTTCCACTGTCACTGTGAGTACCATATGCTCAGTGGTTTCTTCCTGTTCTTCAATCAGTAGTGACAGCATTTATACAAGACAAAAAAAAATATCATATACTGCTACTGCAATTGTCTTTTCTGCACCACAGCATCACCTTTAACAGTTCTGGGGTCAGTATCTTTACCTGTTGACAATGTGATAGTAGTTCCGGCTCCAGCTGTCAAGACACAAGCCAGGTGGGATATGACCAATGATATGTACCTGTATACATGAGGACATGACACCACAAGAAGCTCAGCTTTACAATGATAAGTGTCCAAACTGATCCACTGTCTTTTGTCATTGTTTTTGTTGCTCTACTCGCCTTCTCCCCCTTGTCCTCACTGGCCTGGAGAATATGAACCAGCCACTGCAGCTGGTTAGCAGGATCAGTAGAGTTCACCATCAGCCAGAAGTTTCCTGGAGTACAAAAGTTCATGTTGAGAGAGACCACCCGCAGACCAGGCTGAACCTCCGCTGTGTAGAATCCACCATATCTGTATTTACAGCCACGAACAGAATTGACTCAAAGTCAAATGTAGCTCTGAGGACACCAATCAAACTGTCAAACCATCTACAGTATGTAGGTAACAATATTTTGAGAAATGTGACCACTTCTGTTTGCAAACAGTCAGATATGAACTACAGCTAAAGTGCAACTGTAAGAACATAGCTGACATAATCACTGTTCCAACTTGATATAAAACAAACTCTGCTTTATATTTTGTTTTTTACAGCAGCACTTGTGTCTTATCTACAGGGTGGCTAGACCTGTATTACTGGTTTTAAAAATAACAACAATGTCAACACACAACAGACTTCAGGATGTAATATAAACACGAATATAGAGAACCTCAGAGTCTTCAAAGCTTGCTCTGGTAACCATGCTGCCCATTCCTCTGCCATTGTATCGTAGAGCCAGCCAGAGGATCTGTTGCCATGAACAAAGGGCGGTGGGAAGAGGTTCACTGGCACACTCTCATGGTTCCCAACAGCAGGGTAAACTTTCACATTAGGTCCCAGGTGTCTGCACAGAAGATTGGTTGAAGAGGCAAGGGTCAGTAGGTGTTTGGATCAATTCCAGGGCTAAAAAGTCTGGCTAAGTGGTTGCTGCTAAGGTTTTCTGCAGTAGTAGATAGACCACACATCCATCATGTGAAAGGAGCAGGGGAGACATACTCGTGCACAAGCCTGGAGATGTTTATAAGCCCTGACAGCTGTTGTTTCCTGGTCTGAGACCAAACATTGTGCGCTGGTATGTCTCCAGTCCAGTAGACCCAGTCCCAGGGTCGGTCTCTGTCAACGTTTTTCAGGAGGCTCTCCACCGTCCGTAGAGGGAGGTCACACTTGCTATAGGTTCCCCAGTACCCTGCCTCCCTGCGCCTCCAACTGGGAGTGCCCGAGCCTTTACGACAACACAGAGGGTCTTTGCAGTCTGCAGCACTGCCAACTTCATACTCCTGTCAGTAGAGATCATTATTTTTAAAACCAGGCCTTTCTCCAAAGCAAAACCAGGTGACCAGAATCATCCCACCATTTTTTTGCATTACATATTCCAAACTTCCTGGAATAACATGTCTTTCAAGTAAATAAGTAACTTCAGTCTTGTGTTTTTGGAGAGCATTGACTTTTTACTGTCCACCATCAATAATAAAACTATATTTAATGCACACACTTCCTGAGGCACTATGAAAAAAGCTAGAATGTTATCACACAAATAAAAAGATGTGGGGTATAACCAGATTTTACACTAAGAAAGTGTGTGCCAGCACTTGTTGTGGGTGATTGTTTTCTGCTTTGACTTTTTTCTCAGCAGCCCAGGCTCACCTGATCCCAGTGGATGTCAGTTAGAAACAGGACCCTGCTCTGTGGGGAGCCAGGTTTGGGAGGAGAGGGTGGTGTAACAGGGGGCTTTGGGACCTTTGGCAAGGTGATGTTCCAGGGTGCATAGATGTCAAATTTGCCGCAGGAAGGGCCCACCAACAGGGCACATGCTTCAGTGGGCCACAGCAGAGACGCCTGTACAGCCTGGATGAAGTCAGCCCTGAATAGTTCTGTTATGTCTCGACAAACTCGCTCATCAGCCAGATGGAGGCGGCTACATACCTCACCTGCCACATATGCCAATCGCTCTTCATTTGCATCACTCTAGGAGAGGGACAAAAAAGGCAGTACAAGATCAAGGAAGTGGTGTAATACTTAATGCTTCACTGTCAAAACCTCAAATATGTGTTTGAAGTCAACACTTTAACTGTTGAATGACAGTAGCACTCGCAGCCAACAAAGAGACCTTATGATCTACATGTGTCACGTGTTGTTTTGTGCTACGTCTGCTATAAACACCAGGAAATATTAAAGAAGCAGAACAAGAAGTGGGCCTTCTCTATATATTGTCAGGTATTTTTAGTCTGATAGAAATTGGATAAATACTTTATGTATTAGAAATGTTTAGTGGAGATAGGATGTCTAGTTAGACTGTTAAATGCTTAGTCATGCTTATGAGTTTCTACAGGGTACATCTGGTCAAGGATAACTAGAGAGAAGAGTTGATGACTGTCAGCAGACAGGGTGTTTAATATTATTATTATGACATGTATAACTGTAGCCTTAGCCATAATATGTTCTCATGTTTAAGTCACGACATGTTACTAGAGGTCTGTGAGAATGTTTTTAGCTACACACCACCTAACCAACAGACACACACACATTGATTTGCTTCATGTTTTGACTACTGCTATGACCAGCTGCAAAGCTGGTAACAGAGACGTCTCGGTTGACGTTTCTGTGTAGTATGGGGCTAGCCCAACCGAGGGGATATAATGTATAGGCCTGGTGGGTTCAGGGTCTTTCATCTTACATCTGCCTGCGAGCAGTTTGGAGGATGTCTTTATTGAACACATTGCAAAACAGTGCCATTACTTTTTCTTGTGACTGTACACTCACCGGTCAGTTTATTAGGTACATTTGTAAAATACATTTATGACAGTTGTGATAGTGTACCTAATAAAGTGGCCAGTGAGTGTATACAGTCAAAATGAGCTTGCTAGCATTAAACGTACTGTATAATGGCAACTGCGTTTAAATACATCCATGCAAATTTTCCTTTCTTCTGGTTACCCACCATCAGTTACTTGTCTTTCTGTTCTGCTTGCGGCCAGATAAAGGTTTGCATTTTCCTGTTGTTTAGCCCTACAAGAGGTTTCCGTCTCTACGGCTCACCAGCAGTCACTTTTGGAGCCTGATAAGAAGAGCTGTGAAGCCTTACCATAAGGGCGATGTCAATGATGGTGAAGACGGTTTGGCACAGGCGGCACGTGACATTTTTCCAGTTAAATCCGACCCCTTGGTGGACAAACTGCTGCATGAACACTAGGCCGGACTGCCGCGAGACTTGTCCTGGATGACAGAACCCAAAGAGCGGCATCATTAACACCAGAGTGAAGGTTACGAGCCCACGGGAAGGCGACACTGTGGGGAGCCTCATCGTCCTGACAGCGGATGGACTGTGAAAGACAGGAAGAAGACCAACAAGAATTAGAGAGCAGCATCAAGGAAGTAGCTATAGCTAACATGCAGCAGTGCTATTACACACATTAGCGAATAAAAAACTGAGCAACAAAGAAAATAACACACCGTGCGAGACCTGACAAAAGTCTAATAAAGCTGGCCAGCCCTTTGTCAAAGTGCCGGTCGTCGTCGCCGTTTCCACTAGAACTACGTCGACGAGCGTCGTTGCCTGTTATGACCTGATGTGACTGTTCTCAGCCGAGTCGTCACGTGGTGCCGGTTTCACAATATCAGCTACCTCGTGCTGCTTCACCTTGTCAGCAGCCACAAACAGTTTAACAGACTAAAGGCTACATTCCATTATAAAGCCTCGTCCGGTTCTTTCAAACCAGGAACTCCGAGGGACGACTCAGACCACTTGAGTATATAAAAAATATAACCGTGCTGGTTTATTCAAAGAGTCACAGGCAAGAATTCACACTTCCAGTCCAGAGATCTTCCAACCCCCAGGCTGCCCAAGCAGCCCGGAAAACAGGAAAGACCCCGAACCAAGCATTGCTATACAATATTAATCATTTCTGGGCTGTCGAACCGTGACGTCACCTGATATGCAAGCCTTGCAGCTGCTATAACGTTTAGCCAAAACATGAGGAAAAGTCAAGGTGCGTGACTGTTGTTTTCGTGGTGTGTATCTAAAACAATTGGACATAACCTTACACATTAAGACAAATATTAAGACTAGCATTACAGTTGACACTAACAGCTCTTTTCCTGTAACCTTGACGTGCCTGCAGTCTGCACTGCAGGCTGAATAGTTAACAGCCTAAGCTAGTCACCCTGTCTGCACTAAACATTCCTAGACAACAAATCTCTGAATATCTATCTAACTAAAAAATAACCTAACAAGACTAATGTCCAACATAAACCCGATCTACCAGGCTAGTAATCCTATAAATTACAAAAAATGTATATATTTAATCTGCAGCCATAACAAATGGGTATTACTGACCTAGTAAATACATCTTGTGGTTTGACAAAAGCAAAAATAATAAATATATAAAAAAAGAAAAGGATAACAATAGTGTGGATGCTTACTCAGCATCTACACAATAAACACAGGGGATAAGAATTCAATGATCTCAGTGGTACCAAGCAAACTGATGAAGCCACAAGATCTGTCTGAAAAGTAGAGGTTGTAGTATGTACTTATTTATTAAGTGGGCCTGCACAGCCCACAAATGGAAGATAATGACTCAAAATAAAAGAACAAGGCTTTGTCATAAATACAAAATATTTATTACATTGGTGTTTGTTCATGTGTATAAAAGCACTGTTCCTATACACATTTGGCTCTGTTTCTGTCTCACTCATCACTGAATATAATCCCCCCTGGAATAACCAGGTTGATATTCCCGTGAACAAATTTCAGATATAATAAAAGAGCAACAGAATTAGGCTAAAGAACATTTAAACCTGGAAATTAAATTATATAACAGAAGCAAGATAATATTTATTGTTTAAATTGTGTAGCTAAAGTGGTCTCTGACATTATTTACAGTGGCTTAGCAAATCCAGGACTGACGTGAAGATAAAAAGTGGTTTGATAATAAAAACATAATAACAGGAGAGGCAGTCATTTGTCTTGCATCTTCTCTAGGATGGGGACGATCATGTCAAACTTAGGTCTTTTGGCTGGGTCTTCGTTCATGCAGAGCCTCATCAGCTTACAGATATGAGGTGAAATTCCTGGAGGAATGGTTGGTCGAAGACCCTCGAGAGCCACCTGAGACAAAGGAGGAGGTGGGAGGTCAGATACAAAGTTGCTTTTATACAGAAACATGTAAAAGATTTTGGAGTTGTTTTTTTTTTTGGAGGTATGACTGTGGTGTGTTTGGTGCAGTACGTCTAAGAAATATGAACCTATAGCCTTTAGGTCAATAAATAATGTGCCCACTTACCTTCATGCCTATCTCCATGGGTGAGAGGTCAGCAAAAGGGACCTCTCTGGTAACCAGTTCCCACAGTAACACAGCAAAGCTCCACATGTCAGCAGATCTTCTATTGATGTCTTCAGGCCTCTTCTGCAGGGCTGAAGACAAAAGGAACAGGGAAACATAGCAGGGTAACTCATGGGGTTTGTTTTTATTCTTTAACATGGGCAACACACCAGATAAACAGCAAGATAACTACTAAACTAGGGCTAAACTATACAGTAAGAATGACTCATAAAGTCTAAGGAGACATAATGGGGGCAGGAAATAAACAAGAAGGGGAAAAGGGACAAATACCTTCAGGGGCCATCCATGCTGGAGAGTACATACGACCAGGACACTGGAAAGAGAACTTGGCATCTGCCATGCTTATTCTGGCTGTCATATCCTCATCAATCTGCAAATTAATCCCAGCAGCTCATTATTTAGCAAATATCTGTCTAGTTAATGAGTCAAAGGATCAGTTTAACTGTGTATTAGCATAGTGGCAGTAATAAATACATTTTATAATTGTGGTCAGACAGCAGAACAGTGTCTTACCATGACATGCTTACTGTTGAGGTAAAGCCGTGAAACCATTGGTTCTAAGGTGTGGAGGAAAGCCATGCCACTGGCGATGTCCAATGCAAACTTCACTGCTTGACTCTGGTCGACCACCACAGCTAAGTAAGATGAAGAAGAGGACAAAGGAGGGCAGGAGACAAGGAGGCAGGAAAGAAATGTGAAACGTACAGTGGGGTGAAGATGGTTGTACAATGTTCTCCATCTACAGTAGCAATCCTCGACCATAGTGGTTGGCTGCTATGATTTAATACATGTATATAAATTACTTACTGGTGCCCTGGTGGAGTATGTTGTAGAGGGATCCGTATGGCATGTAGTGGGTAATGATGATGGGGTGAGGGGATGGAGGTGACTGACAGGCCCCAAGAACAGGCAAAATGTTTGGATGAGAAAAGATCCTATAAAGACATGAAAGAAAGACAGATGGTGTGTGCATATAAATGTCATGTTACTAATTTTAACAAAAATGAACACAAAAGTAAACAAATGTGTATTATAGAAAAAGGACTTTCTCAGATGCTAAAGAATTTTAAGAATCAATGTTAGGAGGAAACCCCATAAAACCATCAAAATAAGATGTTCAACACTGCTATAATTATGTCAGTGATGATTCAGTGAATCCAGAGGTCCTTCTTAGCTCCATGCTAAACTTGTCCCAACACGTTAGCATGAGTTCACTTATGCCTCAACAAAGTTTTCTCTTTAAAATGTCTGGACATAACACATCCACATAACAAAAGGTTCAGCTGCTTGCAACTTTGCTTTTGGGCAATAATATGGTGCAACAGCCGCTAAAATCATACAATGCACAAACAAATACAAGAATAGCAACATGGCCCAGTGCATTAATGACAAACGGCATTTAAAATATGGCTCGGTTTTAACTGTGATGGACTTCATTTCATGTGGACGGAGGTTTGAGGAATTTGTTTTTCATGCTGTAAAGCAGAACACATCACAAAGTAAACAAACAACTCAACTTGTTGCACAACATTAAAGCACCAGAGGTTCTCTTTGACCACTGACCTCAATCAATCAGTCACATTCATCCTCACATATAGCACTGTGTTTACCCAGTCAATCTAAATGCTCATTCAGTGTGCCGTGTAAAAAAGCAGGAACAAATGTATTAACCTCAGTTTATGCAATGTGTGGCCCTGTGATGCCCATACTGTAAATACAGTATCTCTGTTTTGTATTCTGTGTGCAGGCATCATCAGAAGAGCCCATCAACACTAGTACGGTTCCTTTTTCAGGATTAGAATGCTGCTGTGTAGACTACCTGAGTTTGGGATGCTCCTCGTTGAAGTCTCTGCTCTTCCTGGTGGTCCAGTCTCTCACCTGCAACACCTTCACTACAATCTCATCCCCTTGCCACCGACCCTGCCATACCTGCAGACAGAACACACTGTCAAGTAAACAACTAAGGAGCTGAAAAAAAAACATGTCTGACACATAGTAGTGAACACATAGTGCAACTGACCTCTCCAGACTGGTTTTCACTGATCTTTGCCAGGAGCAAAAGCTGCTTATAATCAATACCAGCCTGCTTGTTGAGGGTACCGTTACCTGAAAACACAAAAACACAAATAATCAAACATCCTGAACTGATATAGATGGTCTGTTTCCTTTTTATGAACCAAGTGTTACTCACGAGGTCGTGTTCGCATGGTGCCCTTCCAGAAAGTTTCCTTATAGGGGACTTTGGTCATACTCTGGCCCATTTTCTCTGCCTTCTCTAAAACCATACACAAAGACGTAACAATATAAAAAGAAAGATTCCAATACACTGCCAATATTCTCATCACAGGAAATAATCTGTAAGTGTGTTAAAATGTCCACAAATGACCTCTGACCTTGAAGCAGTTGTCTTAGGTGAGGCTTGGCCTTGTCCAGAGGTGTCTGTCCATACCTGTTGCATACACACACCTGGGCACCACTGGCCACCAAGTCCTACAAAAGAGTGGCTAAACTATGTCATACATAAGTGTTGGTTTTAGATTAAAAGCAGTTACATTACCACAAGAGGGCCGTGTCAGTCAACACATCATGCCAAAAGAAGAGGAGTGTGTGCGACTGTATCATACTGTACCTCAGCCACTTCGTCTTGGCCCCAGAAGCAGGCGTAGTGGAGCGGCGTGTTTCCATGCTCGTTGACTGTATTGGGGTCTGCTTTGCACTGGATCAGCTGGCATTCACATGCCATAAAGTTAGAAAATTGAGCAACAAAGCAAGTTTTCCGACTGAGTACAAACAACGCATGCATAGTAGTAGACATACTATGTCTGAGTGTGCGTACCTTAGCCACAATATCTCTGTGTCCATGACTTGCAGCGAGATGCAACGGAGTATCATCTCCACGGTTCATCACATTAATGCGAGCTCCTCTCATGATGAGCATGTCCACAACAGCGCTCCTCCCTTCCCTGCATGCCCAATGCAGGGGGCTGAAGCCATGATCATCACTAAAACACACAGATACAGTGACGAGCAAAGGAGGACAAATCCTAAATAAGTCTGCTCATCAATCTTTAGTCCACAATAAACATGCTTTGTAGCAGTTTTTTTTTAAATAAATGGTTTTCTAAGATGATGTCATTTGGAGGTGCATACATACAGCACTTGCTCCCTTGAAGCATGTGTAGGAGGGTGCGGGTCGGTTCACCTAACAACTGGGAGTATATATCAGCTGACAAATACTATCTGTGTGGTCCACTCTTTAACACTTGGCCACACAGGCTCTCACACCCACTATCTACCAGTCTTTATTTAGACCCAAGCACATACTTCCTTGCTCTTCCTGCAGCCTATTCCCATCTGACAACAGGCCTAGTGATAAAAATGTGCATGCAAGCTGGAATGCCTGCTAACATATGCAGAGACTCAAACACAGACAGCGTACACAGCACCGCTGCAGTCTGAAAGAAGCCAAACTGTCGCCTACATGTGACCCAGCCCCTTCACCTAAGTGGGTCGCTTACATTAGCTGTCCCTAGGGCAGCTGGCTGGGGCTTCTCACAACTCTCTGCAAAGCTACAAACTCTATATTTTGGCTCGCACAGCCAGTAGGAAATTACTGTAATTTCTTTTTTGTTGTTATATTTAGTGAAATGTTGTGTTTTGCACCTCAGGACCACCATGCTGAACAACCCTGTGTGCTATAAAAAGTAACAGGAAAAAAACCTCAGGAATGACAGGGTGGAAAATGCACAGTGGAATCCTCAGCTACACATTCCCTAAGTCTCTCTCTCCACTTTTCATGAGCTTTCTTGTGTCACTCTCTCTTGAGCAAACTCTAAAATGGCAATTAATGTTTGTCTCAGTAGACTGTCTATCCAGTTTCAAACTGTTGCATAAGAAATGGAGAAAAAGCATTTCAGCTTCTATTAAGCAGTATGTTTTCCCACCAACATATTAACAGGGGAAAAGGGGAAATGATAGGCCAGTACAGTTGAACCTCTTCAAAGTAAGAGTCAAAGCAGGCCTCCAGCAAAATAAGCAGTCTCTCAGATGTTTTTGTGGAACTGCAGCTAGCTGTCAGCGAGGGGCCTGGCCCTGTATGGAGTTGGAGAGAGGAAATGGCTTTGGCTGATACGTGGTTGGCTAACAGCTCGGCAGTCTTCGAACTCAACGTCAACAAATTGTACATATATGGCCTGGCCCAAGAATGAGATAACCAAGGTCTTTAGCAGTGAGGTCTACTTGCTAGCAGAGAAATTATATAAACAGGCAGAGGTGCTCTGTATATCCTAAACTATTTAAAATCTCTAGGAGTGTTTATGTTTTTAATAGAAAGAAAGAAAATGCCAAAAACTGGAAAAAGCATATTTATTCCAAGAGAAAAATGTGACATCTCTAAAGTGGCTGTTTTGTCTGACCAACAGCACAGAATCCAAATATTCATTATGTGCTCTACAGTCTAGTGTGGGATGACTCTTAGGTTATATTTTGTTGTCTGAGTCATTTATGTCACCACATAATGCACCTACCCAAAGTTTTTACACACATACAGTTTTTGGGGATGACATCATAAAGAGAGGAAACCAAGAAAAATGGGAGAAAAGTACAAACTGGGCTGGAATTACCAAAGCTGGGTGATGTTGGGCAGTAGTCAGAGATGCAGGGAGAGCACATAGCACATGGAAACTATTTGACCACCACTAACTTGCCAAGGATCGTGTGGTGTGTGCGTGCACACACACACAGCACAGATTCACCTACCACACCAAATGTGGTACTTTGATGCTATTAGGTCAACTCCAGTCATTACAGACTATTTATTGCTAGTCACCTTCAAAACATTGTGTGTGTGTGTGAGCCAGCTGTGTGCACGCTTACCCCAAGTTCAGATCATTCTCAGTGTTGTCCAACCAAAGACGGACGGCCACAGAGTTCCCTTCTCGACACTGTGTGAAGATGTCATCCATGGCTATATTGTGAGTTCCCTGTCTTGGCCGTTTATGTTTTCAGTGTCTTTTGAGATCAGGAACATGTAGCCTACAAAAGGTGTGAAACAAAAAGCCCTTACACAAGAAACAAATGTGTTTTTCCTCACAAACAGAGCAAATATAAAGGACTACAAATTTTGCCATGCACTGTGCATCTCCCATGGGACTTATATAAGAAGGAAAACACACATTACTCATTAGCTATATAATTATCTATAGTTATATTCAGTTAATGTGCATAACGTGAAATGAATGTGATGAGAAAACATCATCTCCTCGCGTGTATCAGAAGCCTGTCTTTATATTATATTGCCTTTTATTGTATATTTCTAAACCTAAACTTTAAGGGTGGACATATCTTTAAGTTATGAGTATAACTCATTGCAACGTATTTGCTCCACAAAGAAAAATAAGCAGACAGTCATAGTCCAGCAAAATTAAATTATGAAGTCAAGAACTTGAATAGCTGTATCCTATATTCCCATATTTCCCCTTGGCTTTATCTTCCTCCGAGTCCGACGCGCTGGCCTATTGGATCATTTTGAAATCTTTTGTTGAAAAGTGAAGTTGGACATCCACAACCACAATGACAACAAAACTCATGAGCATACACATAACGTTCTAAAAACTCTTACCTGCTGCTGAACGACAGATTTCTTGTCAGTTTCTTTGCGTTTCCCCGTCTCCTGAAAGCAGCAAAGAACGGCTGGTGCGAGTCCACGCCCCGCTCCTCCGAGTTGGTGCAGGCTGCTGGGGAGCAGTGAGAGGAGCTCTGCCGCGGCTGGCAGCCCCCTGTCCAGTGACACCCACATAACAGCGCCCCCTACTGGAGGCTATGCAGCGATAATACACCCAGTGGCATTACTACACGGGACCTAAGACCAGGAGTGGGTGGATGAAGCGTGTCTGCACTGTTTTATTTTTTTCAAATTAATTCATTAACTGCTAAATATTCAGAATACATTCTGCATTTATTTCAGAATGTATTCTTTGGTTTATTCAGTTTTATAGCTGTTTATGTATTTATATGGGCTATTACTAAAGCCCATCTTCATTATCCATACACATTTAGTTAAAAAACCGACAAATACACCAACATGAAAAAACTAAAGACTACATGACTCTTAAATAGCCTATAAATTCTAATATTTTCTTGCTTGCAATATCTATCTTTAATAAATTCATAGCCTACCTTGGAGCCTGATCGTTACTAATATTAATATAGGCTATAAAAACTGGAACCTATATTTTGGTTAAGCTATTAAAGAACTCAGGTCGATACAGGTCATTTCACAGCAGATGTTTGGACTTTTCATAAAGCACAGGTGTTGCTAATAACATTAATGTAGTGTGCAGACTCAATTAGCTTGATCGTTTACACCTGTGCATGTCCTGCTGTGACATGTCAAAACGTTGTCAGTAAAGAAAGGCTTATGTATAGCTTTCCCTTTAGGAAACTAGTTGAAAATAAACATGCCAGTACCCTCTGGTGGCCAAACTGTAGTATGTGTCTAAGTTACTGTACAACACATTTCTATACTAATATACAGTCTTAAGTAGTTGGCCTAAAGAATATCAAGTTCTACAGCTGCCACAGCTTTTAGTTACACCGACGAACATCACAAAGAGTAAAGTCACTGGCAATGTGGTTTTTATGATAGTTTATCACTACTTCACCACTGGATTAGAGTACAAAACATGTACAGAGGAAGGAAGAGAGAGGTGAGGATATGTGACCAAGGTCACAAACTGGACTCTCACACAAAGAGAATGTGGCATACACCCCAACAGCAAACATTCAGCAGCGCTGTGGCTTTTAATGTTTTCAAAGTACAACATGGTCCCTTTAGTATTTCAAATGAGAAAAAAAAAAAAAAAAAAAAAAAATATGAAAAAGTAAAAGCCATTTTTAGACCTGATGATTCATTTAGTATTTCCTGCCACCTTACAAAACACTTCTGGGGACAACTGGTGAGTTACAACTTCTTTCTTGTTTTTGTCATACTTTGTCTGAAATTATAACCACTATGACAATAACAGCTTTTCTTATCATGAGTGACATCCTTGACCATGCTACTCACTGCAGCAGTTCCTCATCTTCCCGCTAAATCATAGGGCACTAAATTTGCTACTTAGGCAGAGTTGTTTTACATTTTATGACAAATCCAAAAAAAAAAAACTTCAAGGACTATTAGTTTATAAGTTAGGGCAAGATTAGGGCTGTTTGTGGTGGGAGTCGGAGCCACGTCAGCAGTTTGACCATCTGAGACAGATGCAGCCTTGGCATCATTACTGGCCTGACAGAGGGGGAACTCCTGGGGCTCTCTCCCGACCCAACTAGCTCTCTGTGGATTTAGACACTGCAGGTGCACCTACGGCTGGCTAAGGCACATCTTGTGATGAGGAACTTGGTTTAGATGGCATAAAACTCCCAGACTCCAGCTGGGTACCAGCTATACGTGACTGAGGAAATTCTGCCATACGAGATGGTCCACTGCCAGCTTTATTAAGCACTGAGGGATTTACTGTTTCAGTTGCAGGTGTGAGTGGTGTGGCAGCTGATAATTTCACTTCTGTAGCTGTTGTGGACTTGAATACAGCAGCATCCAGCTCAACTGGTATGTCTAATCCTGCTGGCTTTGAAAGTGAGCCACGGGCCTCTGGTCCAGCATCAGCTGCTAACAGTCCAGGTATTTGTGGGGGTGGTGATGAGGTGATGGTGGTCTGAGATGCCGATGAGGCCTCTGTGACAGGGGGCATCACAGATGCAGAAGCAGCTGCCTTGGCATTCTCTGTAGCCTTGCTCTCCATTTCCTCTACCCGGCGCTGCACCATCCGAGGCATCAGCTGCACGTAGGTGCCCATCAGGCGGTGGTTGGAGCGAATCAGCTTGCCTGCACAGCTGTCCACACAGTGCTCCTGAGCAGACAACCACAACAACAGGTGAAGAGGAGATAATTATAGTATGTTTTCATCATACACTATATGGCCAAAAGTAAGTAGAATTTTTATGGTTTGGGCTCTGGTTTGTGATCTATGGAAATCTTAGAGCTACAGCAGAAAATGATCTGTTAGATAATAGGGTGCTACCAGCTTTACAACAGCAGTCTGGTGAAGGTTTTTTTCTGCATGACAATGAACCCCATGTATAAAGCCAAGCTTTGCACCGAGTCAAGACATCGACCACATCCCAAACTAATGCTCTTCACACTGAAACAAACTCGATAGTGTCCTTACTTTACTAACCCCAACGGAAAATTAGAAATGCCTGCAACCGAGGTCCAGGGGCTTTAGGATGAAATAACACATTCTGCAGTGTCACATTAAGTTATAGCCTAAACACCTTTTCGGTTGCCTTTTCCTTTTGACCATGTGATTTATACGCAGACACAGTAGGATAATATTGTGTATAGACACTTGATGTATGTATAATATGTATACACAAATACAGTGGGTACGGAAAGTATTCAGACCCCCTTAAATTTTTC